TCTTTTTGGCGGAAACATGATATTATAATTTGTGCACAAATGTATCAGATTATTCTTGTCTGACCGGATTTTAGAAAAAGTCCGTTAATATTCCATGTAAACAACTTTTATAGATTCCTAGAAAATCGGAGTCTGGTATTTTACTAATCTGTATTTGCTCAATAGACTGGTCTCGGCGGGCACCCCCAAAGTCTTATGGATACCTGCCACTTCGGGCATCGGGTCGTCGGAGTTGGGACTTGTCGTCTGCTACTTAGAGACCTGTCCCCGGACCCAGAGGTCTGTGTGTTGGCTGTACCCTAAGTGTCGTCAACGATGGACTTTTTACCCCAATCATAAGCATAGACATCGCCATTTACTATCAGTTTGTTATAGGATATGTAACAATCGTCGCCATTGTCCCTATAGTGTTTTACATACTCTCCTAGCTTTCTGCGTGTCTCTCTCACTGACTGTGTATAATCGGGTGACACTCTGTATGTTTTGTTACCACGTAACTCATCTCTGGCAGCTTGATATACTCATTCCCTGTTTTTGTACGATGAAAACAACACTATGATAGGACGTGGTTTTCTATGTGAGCGCGCTCTATGTGAGTGTTACGTACTTCGGTCTCACTCATATGTAGTTCATTACACAAAAAGTGTTTTACTTTATCTTCTGAGCTTGACCACGTTTCATTTTTTTCTTCATCCTTAATTCAAAAGAATATGAGATTGTTTCTCCTTGACTTTGACTCTAATTTTTCGACCTTATCTGACAAAATCATGTTTTCATCCTCAAGTCTCTCAATAGTTTTCCACATGTTGTCTTGCTCAGAGCTGAATGTCTACTCCCATGATGTAATGTGCGCCCTACCTAAAGACACACACAGTGATATCTTCAGTTTGACGTACGTGTCACACTGTGATAGGTGTGAGAACCAATAACAAAATGGTCAGACGGCCGGAATGGTGGAGTATGACACCTTAACATAGGGGAATATCAGCCAACATATATACATTAATTGGTAGACGTAAAATTAAAACTGAACAATTAAACGGGTTTTTTTATCCAATAGACAAAATATCACATCCCATTAACAACCGCATAAAAAACACCATTAAGTGTTTCTACATTCCTTCATCCAGAAATGATGATATTCTCAAGCACGACCTTAAACCCAATTTCACCTCACCTCATCCAGAAATGGAAGCGATGGGGCAGCCTAATGGCTAAAGCTTCCGCTCGTCAAGCTAATGACCGGTGTGATTCCCAACATAAGGTACAATGTGTGAAGGCTTTTATGGGTGTCCCCGTCGTGATACTGCTGGAATATTGCAAAAAGCAGTATCACTACCTATACACACTCACTCTAATACAATCTGCAGGTTTACCTGAATCCCTGAATAAACTGTAAAGTGAACAAGCTGACTGCCGCTTTTGCAATAAATAGGACACACACCTTTGATAGTTGCATGTCAGCTCGCCTGGAGGTGACCCACAAAGTGCATTTAGTAAACATGCATTGTCGTGTTGAGTCCGACGCAAACTCTTCAGCCGATTCAAACCACTGCATGTGGTTGCATCAGGCAGTGTATTATAGTGCACACTTATAAACACATCCTTGGCTCTTATCATTTGGAATACGTACGTTTCGAAAAGTGGACAGTCGCAGGCAATGATGGACATATTCGCCTTCAGTACTACAACTGTGTTGCTGTGTGTGGCCGTGCTAGTTTTGTTATGGCTACTAACGCGGCGTCCCTCTGGGCTCCCTCCTGGTCCCCCTCTCCTCCCGTTTGTGGGGAATGTCCTCTCCATGGGCTCCGATCCCCGGATCACGTTAAAGAAACTCAGGCAACAATATGGGGACATCTTTAGTGTGTACATATTCAACACACCAGTCATCGTCCTCAACGGCTACAACGTCTTGCGAGACGCCATTGTAAAGAATGCCGACAACTTTTCTGACAGACCTCACTCACTGCTGAACGACTTCATTGCGCAAGGGAAAGGTAAGTGCAACATGTCACCACATGAACTGACGTACAACAGACAGTGCACAGCTGATGTTTTTGGTTGTTTACCCTGAACAATGACGTGGTCGGAGTTAGTGAGTAAATGAGTTTAGTTTTACGCCGCACTCAGCAATATTCCAGCTATATTGCGGCGGTCTGTAAATAATCGAGTCTGGACCAGACAATCCAGTGATCAACAGCATGAGCATAGATCTGCGCAATTGCAAACCGATGATATGTGTCAAGCAAGTCAGCGAGTCTGACCACCCGATCCCGTTAGTCGCGTCTTACGACAAGCATAGTCGCCTTTTGTGGCAAGCATGAGTTGCTGAAGACCTATTCTACCCCGGATCTTCACGGGTCCACGCGGTCGGAAATATTTCGAAGTAATACATAGTGTACGTTTTGCTGAAAGGTCACGTATATCGTACGGAAGTGCAAAGTTGTTAGCGTCTGATGTTCCTTGTACAACGTAGGCGATTCTGTTGATGTTGACGGATTCAGGACGTCACCCCCAAATGGTGCCAAACGGTTCAGGACGTGCCCACATCACTGTGTTCCTGCTGATGCGGTGGCTTCAGCCACGAGGCTACCCCACCGCCCCTAACGCAGGTTAGAAAATGCGCAACTGATGGTCATGTTGCGGGGTGGCCACTCTGTTTTCCAGTTCTGGAACTGTCAGATGTCTGGCGAGCCTGGTTGACATTTCATGTCTCATGACATGTGCAGCCGAACGTTCTGGTGATATGGCTTCTCGAATACCCCATCTGCCACATTCAAAACGCTGCCAAACTGAGCTGACTTGGATTAAATCGAAACAACATTATGCTGTGTAAACTGCTTCTGACAGCCAGTCCAGTTATGCCATCTGCTTCTCAGATTGAAAGTCAATCTCCGCTAACGATTTCTTCAGCAGCATCAAAAACGCAACGAAAACACCTTAACTAGATACAATCATCGAAAACTCCCTCTCCTGTATACCAAGGGGAGTTAGTCCGGGTACGTTTTAACTTTAACACTTCTGGAGCATGCTTATCAAGCAGCGTGGTTAAAGTTTCATTGTAGCACGTTGCTAACTCACAAACATGAGTTCAATCAAAAGCCTTGATTTCAGGATGTGATCCTTGAATTCTGAGGTGGATGTAGTTTTGATATTGCGGCATCTCATTTGCTGCATAATGAGTTGGGTTTTGTCGAAAATGACATCCACAGCAAGCAGAAAATGGTCAGACGGCTGCTTGTCAACTACAGCAATCTCCATGATCAAGTCTCATTCTGTTGTGTTATCACCATATGGCCATTCTGGTGGGTGGATTTTTATATCATTTGAACTGGACAATGGGCATGAAGAAGACGAATAAATGTCTTGCAATTGTCCCAGAGGTATCATCCAAGTGACTATTAAAGTTTCCTAGAATCATGAGCTGTCCTTTTTGAGCATTAACATTATCAAAACAACGTTCAAATTCATCAATAAACATAGGAGAAGACAGCATGTTAGTTTCAGATGGAGGAGGTCTGTAAATACACACTTATCTAACTGTTTCTTCGGGGAGAGTGACTATTACTTCCAACATCTCAAACGATTTGTAATCCTTTCTCTGGTTTGTAATATGTTGTACTCTCATACCTCCATGTGCAGAACAAGGACACCACGTCCTGCTGAATATGTCCGAGGAACATGCTTCAAACTATAACCAGGGGGTAATAGCTCTGCAGTCTTGGCTTCATCTCCGGTTGTTTCCGGCCAGGTTTCTGTTACAAACAACATGTCAACGTCTTCCTCAGTTTTGAAATCACAAATCTCTGGTGTTTTGTTCCTTACAGCAGATCTTGCATTCCACAGGCACGCTGAATAGTTGGACTTCCTAATTCGAGGATGCACTTGAATAAGATTAGTTGTTGTATTCCTACAGTATAGGGGTAGATATTGTTTTCGTTCACATACTCCAGTAACAACTTTCTTTTTTTTTAAATCCAATGCCTTTTCCACGCCTGGTTGGTTTCTTGTCTTGCATTGACGAGCATGATGTAACACTTCAGTTGCCAACTGAGAATCACGAGCATGTCTAAGTGATATCAATATTGTTCTCTGGAGTATGTAATTGGTCCCAGCATGCTGATTAGGTCACTGCGTTACCCACGTGAAGCCTATATTGTCTGCCGCTTGGGTTTAGCTTCTGCACTGACTAACCAAAATTTCGCATGGAGTAGTTGAGTGACATGTTTGCCAACCTATATCCACAGACCTGTATGCTGCAAGAAATTGTCTGAAAGGCCGGAGCATTTACATTGTATGTGTGTCCGGTCCGATGCACTACAAGCCAAAGAGAACAATACAAAATAAAAACAAGCTATAAATTGCCAACTGAAGGTAGATCACCTTACCAGAGACTATGGCGGCTTACCATACATTTGCTTCCTGCATGGATCCTAGCTGGATTTACACCATCCCTTCAGCAATTTCAACAAACCTAGTCATACATCAAAATGACACATATTCTAAAAAGGCATGTGACTCAAAATGTATCAGTCAGTTGAATTTCTATTACGAATTCGATAATATAAGTTGTATGCTCCTCTCGAGGGTAATGCGGTCTGATGTCCGCCTTTTTATAACAATGTCACCCTACACTGAAATATTTGTCCCTCTGTGATGGAAAAATCAATAGTCAAGCAGGACATACTTGATCTTGATTCTTTCATCACAAGGGATACAAAATGGAGGATCCTCACCTTTAAGCAAATGTACTAGTGCATATCTTAAATGACCAATGGGCGGTGGGGTAGCCTAGTCGTCAAAGCGTTCACTCGTCTCGCCGAAGGCCCGGGTTCGATTCCCCACATGGGTGCAATGTGTGAAGCCCATTTCTGGTGTTCCCAGCCATGATATTGCTGGAATATTGCTAACAGCGGTGTAATACTAAACTCACTCACTCATTCACTTAAATGACCAATACAACAACGTTGTATAATGACCTCCTCAAATCTGGACTGACAACCCAAGTAGGTATAACCAATAGTTGGTTTAATTTCATGCAGTTTATTGACAACTACTTGGGTATCCCACTTCTTTTGCAGCAACTGCAATTGTAAGTGGCTGTATCCTCAAAGGGGGTTAAAGTATCGTACAATTATTGTCCTCCTGAGAGGGTACGTAAAGCCAATTTAGCTCAACCATGCTTTTTCAGCGTAGAGTATTTGTTATTCTAAATTATGGCTAAATTTCCCTGCCATCGCCAGCGGCTGAGGGGATGGTGTAAATACAGATAGGGTCCATGCAGGTAGGAAAGGCACTGTAAGTCCCCATGGTCGTTAGTATGGTGATCCACCTTCAGTTGTTGGCGATCTATAGCCTGTTTCTATTATTATGTATTGTCCAAATAGTGCTATTAGTTTTAACTTCACATGCTAGTTTTAATTCCAACTGTGATAGTCTAGTTGTTTTACTGTCCTTTGACGACAGGTTTTATAATACTTCGAGTTATGCATAATATTCGAGACACCGGCATTCGACTCATCGGGATTTGACTGTATATACATATTCAAATTTGTTCTTGTCACGATATGCCTGAAACATTGCCAATGCGACGTTAGATATTAACTCACCCATGTCTTTTGCATTAGATCACGCACGTAACATGTAATGACTTTTAATCACTGTATGGGATAAGAAGTAGTGTCACAGTTTTGTTGAGTGCTTTAGCTGCAGCATTAGCTATCGTGTTACCAACTATACCAACATGGATGGGTAACCAACAAAAGACGATGTCGTATTGGCCAGTAGCAAGAACATTAAATAATGCAACAATATGAATTAAAAGTTGATGTTTATACTAGATGTTTTTAAAAGCCTGAAGGCTCGAAAGCGAGTCAGAAACTTATATATTATTTATATGTGAGATATGTATTAAACTATTTAAGAGCTGTTATTTCGTCGTATGGACCCATCTCATTATATTTTGCTGGTTTTACATTGTCGTCAGTGTTAGCTCAACATGTGGCCTCACTAATTGCCAAGAGGAGAAGAAAGAAGGCGGGAAGGAGCTATATTATCCAGCTCAATGCCAGCATCAGAAAGGAATGGTTTTAATCTTATTCCTTGAGAGAAGACTTTTTATTATACAGATCCCCAGAGAGAGGATTAAAAACACTGTTATAAGCAGGGTTGGATTCATTAGAGTAACCTTTTTAGACATATTGCATAATTTAATGCGACGATGTTTTAAAGATGGCACATAGGCCTGGCCTGTCAATAGGGGAAATGCGGAAAGATCCAAGACATAGTCTCAGTTAAAGGTTGCTTTTGCAGGCTGCACCATAGGCGATGGAGCAATAATCCAGTTTGGATTGTATAAGTGCTCGGGAGAGTTTGAGGAGGGTTTTCTTTGTATTAGAGACAACTTTCAGCAAATCAAGGCCCTCGGGCATTTTTTAAAGTATTTAACATGGGGTCGAATATGGGCTCATAAAAAATTAAACCTAAGAATTTCGCATCTTTTAATACTTTAATAGGTGTGTTATTTAACTATAACTCTGGAACTTTATGAGGTTTATATTTTCGGCAAAAATGGATACAAATGGTTTTTGACTTTGACAATTTAAATCCATTTTCCAAACACCATGTATTAATTTTATTTTAACACAATAGCAATTACATTTTCCCTAGTATGGTGATCTACCTTCAGTCGTTGGCGATCTATAGCCTATATTTATATTATGTATTGTCGAAATTGTGCTATTAGTTTTAACTTCACATGCAAGTTTTAAATTTGAACTGTGATAGTCTAATTATACTGTTCTTTGATGACAGGTTTTATAATATACACATATCCTTTATCAACGTCAAAATTTTTCTCGTCACGCTATGGCTGAAACATTGCCGATGTGACGTTACATATTAAATCACTCACTCAATTGTAATTACCTTTCAATAGTATACATCATCCTTCCACGACAAGAAATATTAAAATCATTCACAAAAAGTGATACATCAA